TCCCTCCAGCTTTCTTCCTGCGGCCTGCACAACGAGGTCATTTTGGGGCAGCCTTCTCCAGTCCGATGCCCTGCTGACGGTTTAGGCTACCAACCCTCAGGAGCTCCCATCCAGCTCCAGACATCTTTCAGAGGCCAGAAGTATGTGCTCTGTGGCGGGAAACAAAAAACATAAAAAGGAAATGCACTGGGGAAACAGCCAGCATCATGCAAGGAAGGACGACACGGCTGTAGCCTGATGCATCTGGAGGGCACTCGGTTTGCACCCTTGGCTTGGGCCCTGGATCCTTTCTGGGCCCTGTTGAGACAACTGTTTGGCTAACATCTCTCTTCCCCACCACCCTGCCAGAGTGGGCCAGGGCATCCCAAAATAGGTTAGCAGCAGCAAGCACCAGTGGGCTTTTGCAAAGCCAGCCAGCCTCATTTACCCCTCGGAGAGCAAGCCGTGCCAGCAAGCTTACAGGTCGCCCTTGAGGACACATCGTTCCTGGGAGAAGCCATTCTCCAGGCCCCCACACGACTGGACTGGACGAGCAGGCGGGAGCAAAACAGGAGCGGCTGGAGCCCACGCCCTTGCTAATCAAAACCTCCTGGAGCTTTGACCCTGGAGCTTTACGGAGCTGGGACCGAGTCTGTGTTTGGTCCGATATATTAGTCTGCAAGGCCTCGATGCTTATTTTCAGTACGGCACTGGAGGGGGGAATGCAGTATTCCTGAAATATACATATTCCCCAACGTCACAATACTTTCCCCTCCCCAGCTAGTGGAGAGAGTTCATGATGGGCTTTTGGTTGTGCATGTGTGCGTGTGTGTTTGCATATCTGGATGGTACGAAATAGTTTCAGGATTGCATCAGCAGCTTGGCTTGGCAGAGTCTTTCGCTTCCCGAGCGATGTGAAACACACACCTGTGCCTACAGGGGCAGGCAGGGCCGTGGCTGCAGGGGTTTCTCAGAAAAGTGAGGACTGGGGCATTGCTGATAGCAGCTGCCGTCTGGCGCATGGAGACACGCCGTCCAGTCGCCTGATGCAACCAGCTCGACGGCCCAGAGTGCTCCCCCTGCCAGGCAAAGCGAACGGAGATGCAGGGCAGGCAAAGTATTCTCTGTGGGCAGGTTTCCAGCAACGGCAGCCTGAGAAGCTGCGGTGTGTGGCACATGGAATTCTGCAGTGGGGGCGTGGGATGGGTGTGAGCCCCCAACTCCCAGGATTGAGCAGAGTTGGCAAGGGGATTCTGGGAGCAGCACTGCTGCCCATATTCAGCAAAGACTCTCACTTCATATCTATGGAATGGCCCAAAGTCTCCTTCATAAGGTTTGTGAACGCCAGCTAACGGGCATAGAATCCCAGAACAGTAGAGCTGGAAGGGGCCATGAAGACCATCAGGTCCACCCCCTGCTGTTGCAGGACACCACCTTACACCCTCCCTCCCGGAGTTGTCCCGCTCCGAACAGGTTGTCCCTCGGTGCTTGCCGCATTTGTGACAAGCCACTTGGCTGAGCCAGGTGAGCATTTCCGGCAGCCCTCGACTGGGCGTGAGACAGTCCTGCCTGCGGGATCAGGCCCAGGTCCATCCGGTCCAGCAGTCTGTGCGCACGACGGCCAGCCAGCTGCCCGCAGGATCCCTCCGGCAGGACGGGCGCAAGGCCTCCCGCTGCCCGAGCTCCTCAGCCACTGGCGTGCGCAGGCGCACCTGGTGAAGGCGGTGGCCCATGGCCAGCAGGGCGAGTCGCCTCGGATGGCCTCCTCTGCGATTCTCTCCGATCCCTTCTTAAAGCCCCCTGGACTGGCAGCCAGCATACTTCGTCTGGCAGCAAAGTCCACAGCAGGCACCAGTGGTTTCAACCACTGGTCCAAAGACTGGTCCCAGTTGGCAGAAGGTTTCCTGCCAGTCCCTGGGAGCCCACATCCCGCTCGCCGTGGAAGGCGCAGGGGCCGGCGGTGCTCCACCACCTCTTCCTCGGTCGGCATTGCATTCAAGGGAGTGTGCCGGTGCCACTGGGGGGACAGGGAGGGGAGAGACGCTGCGCCGATTTCGGGATTTTGTTCTTTTGTTAGCATTCTCTGTTACTTGGTTTCTGGTTGTTTTGGAGAATTTTCATTGTTTTGGTATTGTGTTTGCAAACGGCCACACTGGACACTGTATTATGTGCCTGGTGCTTTTGGTTTCTGCCTCAGTGGTCCCCAGGTGCTTTTCCTGTTTTCACCAGTCCCCAGCTGGGGAAAGGTTGAAAACCGGTGGTTTACGCTGTGCAAAGGAAACCTTTATCTGTCATAACCCCCCCGCCAGGTAGCTTCATGGAATGACCCGGGCCTTGAGTGCTGTGGGAGGGAGAGAGAAAATGCCTCCTCCTCTCCTTCCCCACACCATGCATTATTTTAGACACCTCTATCATGTCTCCCCTTTCTCGCCTTTGTTCTAACTAAACAGTCCCAGTTGCTGTAGCCTCTCCTCATTGCTCCAGGCCCCATATAATTTTTGTCGCCCTTCTCTTTGCTTTTTCAGTGAAATCACGTCCTTTTTCAGGGAAGGTGACCAGAACTGAACATAATATTCCAAGTGCAATCACACCAAATATTTGTATAAAAGTGCTGACTGCCAGTTAAGGGTTTATATTAGAGCGACAAACAAGCACCAGTCTGTCTTCGCTCTGCGCATGGAGGCAGCCACACGGAAGCAGCCTCTCCTAAGTCTGGTGAGACATTGGATTTTCCCTCCAAGTGGCTTCCCAGCTTTTCTGTGCCATTCTAAGAGGGCAGAGGGCTTCTTCCAAGGCTGAGTGAGCTTGCCGTAAATCTTCACTCTAAAAAGATACTGTGTTCTTTGGTGTTTGCCCCGTTTTTGCCTCTGGCCCTGCACAGCAACGGACTTGGACCCCCAAGAGCTCAACCAAAGGAGTTTGGCCCTCAGACTGAAAGCAGTTCAACGGCCCTGGTCTAACCGCATGGTCTAATTGCTCTGGCTGGGAAAAGCCAGGTTTTGCATCTTTATGGCCCTTTGCATTTCCACTGGTGCCACTGAGAGAGGTTTACTTGCATGGCTGAGAAATGTCCTTAACAGTCAGGCCATCTGTGCTCAGAAACTGGTGCTGGACTAATTTTTGATTCGTGAGGCTGAAAATGACCTTTTTTAGTCATGTTTCTATTCCAAATTCAAAGGATATTTTCCAGCCCCCACTGTCCCCTTTTACGCATGGAAGCCCATGAAAGTCACTTCATCAGAAGTCAAGTCAGTCCACATGACCACACTGGTGCTTCTGCTGCGAAACGTTTTCTGTGCCCAGTCTCATGGGATCAGCATGTTTTGATAAAGCTTCTGTGTTCCTCAGTGTTCAAAGCCTGTGAGTCTGGCTTTTGCTTTCTCCAGACAGCCGGAACAGTGTCCGGTGTATCCTTCACAAAATAATTTTCTTGTAGGATAAATGGTTGCGTCAAATGCCACACCTCTCTCATGGGTATGTTTTTCTCTACCTGAGCAGAGCTTTTGACACAGAAGGCCAAGCTCTGTTGGATAATATGATGGACTGGGATAAGGGAAGCTTGGTCCAAGATATCTGGTGGGCACCAGGTTGAGGAAGGCTGTATCTGAAACTGAGCCCCCCCCCCCTTTAGACTTTCCAGAAAGGTCATGGTGCAGCTTTCTACATCCGGCACCAAACAGGTGCCCACGAATAGCTGGGCTTTCCCTTTTGGGAAGGAGGATGGTCAGTGCCAGTCTCAGCCAGCTTCCTCCCTCAACATGGCTACCTTCTCACTGCCCCTAACGTCAATTGCTCCTTGTTCTCTGTTGGGGATTTGCTTCCGCTTTCTTGCCCAACCGGTAGAGAGCCAGTGAGCAAGTCGGCCAGACTGCGCTTCTTCTCAGCCCACCACTGTGGGGGCCACATCTGGAGAGCATGGGGGGGGGGATCCATCCACATCTCGGTCTCGATAGGACCGTCACTGCCTGAGCCATTGGAGGGCTGGAGTGTGGCCTCAGACTGGAAAGCTGGTGCCCTGCAGAGGTTCTGGATCGCAACCCCGGTAAGCTCCCATCAGCATGGCTTATCATGGGTGTTATGTGTTGTCAAATTGTCCCGGACTTTTGGTGACCCTATGAAAGAGCGCCGTCCAAAATGCGCTGTCTTTGACCGACCTGCTGAGTGCCTTCAAACACAGCTTGTGGCACCTTTATGGAATCCGTCTGTCTCACAGCTGCTTGTTTCTTCTGCCTTCGACTTTCCTTAACACAATTGCCTTCTCTGGCAAGACCTTGCTTCTCATAATGTGCCCAAGTCTGACAGCTTCAGAGGTGCTGTTTTTGCTTTCAGGGAAAGTTCTGGCTTGGTTCGATCTAGACCCCACTTGTTCATCTGTTTGTCTATCCAGGATATTTGCAAAGGGTCCCTCCAGCAGCACCCTGTTTCAAATGCATCCGTTTTCTTTCCAGTGGACATTAATTGAAAAATCAATTTTACTGAAATTATTGAGCTGATTAGGCGGTTTTAAATTTTGCATGTGGAAGTGTGATACTTTATTCTTTTATGGTTTCTTGGTTTTGTGAATTTTCGTGAATTGCCTAGGCAGCTACAGCTACCCAGCAGTTCAGAAACAAAACAAACTTCATCAGGACTGAAGGGAATCGCAGTAACATTTTAACCAATCTGGAAAGCACAAAGCGCTCTACCCTCTGTGCCCTCAGAATGGCCAATTACAATGTTTGCTAGGAATGATAGCAGCTGCATTCTAGCAGACGAATAACAAGGCGGTAGTCCTCAGTGAGGCTCGCGAGGGGCGAGAAAACAGCTTCCGACGTTGGCGCGTCGCCTCGCCCTCAGATTGACAGCTTCCTCGTGCCCCAGCCCCGGTTCGCGCTCCGCCCTCCGTCCGACTTCCGCTGGTAACTTCTGGTAGGCCCACGTCTGGGCCCGTCCTCCAATCCACGGAGGCCACAGCGACGTAACGAGGCGGCGCGGGCGGGGCCGAGCCCATATAAGGAGGCGGCCGGGGAGCGCTGACGCGCATTTGCTGGCGGCATCCGGGGACGTGTCTCAGTCGCTGGTCGAGAGGAAGCGGCGCTGTCAGCCATGGGCGATGCCCGAGAGGAGACGGAGGCCCGGGCCGGCGAGGTCCGCCTCGTCGTCAAGAGCCCCGCGCACCGCCACCCGGACCTGTTGCTGCCGGCTCAGCGCTCCTGGAGCGTCTGCCGCCTGAAGGCCGAGCTCCGCCGCCTTCACCCGGACGCTCCGGTAAGCCCGGGCGCTTCTGCTTGCTTGCAGCGGGCCGCCTCCCGGCGTCCGTGGACCCTCCTCTGCCGGGAACGGTCTACCCGAGAATGTGGCCGGCGGGCTGCTTGCCTGCTTGGAGTCGGGAGAGCGGGGCTGGGGGAGGCGTGCTGCGGGGGCGTGAAGCCGGAGAGCGGGCAGAGCCGGTCCCAAAAAGCCCGTGGGGCTCGCTTGGAAGGCCCGGCCCGGCCCGTCGCCCGCGGCTCCGGCCTGCTTAAGGGGCCTCGCCGTCTTTCCTCCAGCTGCGGCGCTGTCTTCGCATGCGGCGGAAGGGCTGCCGGGTGGCCTGCCTCTGCTCCGGAGGCCGCGCCCGTCTTGCCCGGCCCCCGCGAAACCCGGGAGTCAAAACGTTGAAAAGCCGCGAGGGGCGGTGGGCGGAGAGAGACGGTCCCTGTTCCTTGTTTGCTTTAGGGGGCGAGCCTGACCAAAGAAAACGCACAGGGCGTAATTCACCAGCACGCATAGGATTGCGCGCTCGAACTCTCCACTTGCACGACTGGCAGGTGTTGGACTTCTGCTTCCATGCCAGCCGATTTCTTAACATGCCTCCACAGATTGGCTTTGGTTTTAGCTATTTAAGTTGTTGCTGGCTTTGTGCATTGGAGTTTTTTATGCCGCTTCGTTATGTGTAGATTTTTAATGTTAATTGGTGCAGAGGACTCGGAGTGCCTCAGCTGTAGGATAGTGAGTGAGTAAAGTGAGTAATGCAGGGCCAGGATGGAGTAGTGCCGGACTCAGGGCTGGGACCCCCACTTGATCGCCTTTGCAGGGTTGTTGAGAGGATAAAACAGGCATTTTTTGTAGCTCCGCTTGAGTTCCTTTCAGGAAAACAGCAGGACCTAAATAAATCTGGGTGCAAGGTGCATCTGGACAGAGCCAGTTTGGGGAAAGGTTTCTTAGGCCTGGAACTTGGAATGTTATGACCAGGAAGAAAACACCTGCTTGTCCAAACCTAGGTTTTCCTTTTAAGATGCCTTGCTTCCCACTTTGAGAAGCCACCCGGCATTGGGCATCTCCCTTCCTCTGCAGTTCAGAGTGCCTCCTTCAACGTGGAGGTTTTGTGTTTGTCGCTGTGGCAAGCGGACCTTTGACACCTGCAGGACGTGCTTAGCAGTGCAGTCTCCGAATACCAGGTGCAGGAGGGCGACCGGAGGTGGTGGAAGAGACAGGTGCAAGATGGAGCATAAGGCGATGGCTGGCCAGTGGCCAGGATGGCTGTACATTGCCTCCCGGATCTGTAGGCTAGTTGCTCAGGTGCCGCAGGGGGAGGGAGTGCTTTTCTGCTCATGGACTTCCCACAGGCATCCGGGAAATAGGATGCTGGGCTCGGTCAGCCGTTGGTGTTGGTCCAACAGGGCTCCTCTTGGGATGCCACCTAACAGGGTCTCCACTTTATTTTATGTATGTTCAATTTGCCTCCTTCATCCTTGGCAAATGGCTGCAAAGCAGTGTGGGGTTACAGATCCTCTGAGCATGTGCAGAGTTCACTTCCTTCCAGGGAAGATTGGCAATACTCCCAGATTGTCCTGTAGCCCATGCAGCTCTACTCGTGTATGTGTGTGTATGGGGTGGGATGGGGGATAAGTACTGTCCTTTTCCCCTCAACTTCATTCCAGCAAATAACTAATATTTTATTTTAAATTTGTATAGCTCATGATAACATAATTTCGTTTTCGCCACAGGCTTTCTTTCCACTGTGGTCCTCTTCCTCCACTTTCACACAACTAGGGGCCTTCGGGGAGACTTTTTTCTCCCTGTGCCCTTCCCTCTGCCACTTCTTTCACTTGCTTGCTTTGCCACAGTAAGCAAAATAATTTTTCTTTGCATCTCCTTGATGGCTATGCAGGGATTTGAACTCTGCCTCTTTGTTACAGCCAGTGCTAATTCATCACATAGTTTGCAATTATCTCAACACCCCCCCACAACTCTTTGCTAGCTCTTCTTTAAAAAAAATAATAAATGCTGGGCGGAACTTGTTTAGCTCTCAGTTTCTTCCTGGTCACCTTGATCTGTTCCTCCTCCTATTCTCTTCCTTATTTATATAGCAGCAGTAGGAAACTAAGATTTCTCCCCTAAGGAAGTGCCCCAAAGTTCTAACATACTTACTAGAATAGAATTCCTGTATTGAAACCTCCATGCAGTACAGTTGATTTTATTTATTTAAAATATTTATATGCCATCCTGTCATGAAAGCTCCAAGACAGTTTACATAAATTAAATAACATAAAATATAACAAATAAATTATCGACCCACACTGGCTGCCGTTAAATACATATAGGAAACCATATCAAAACTTATTAAATGTTGCTGAAATAAAAAGGTCTTAGCCTGGCGCCGAAAAACAAATAACGATGGCACCAGGCGGACCTCTCTTGCGAGCACATTCCATAGGCGGGGCGCCACCGCAGAGAAGGCCCTCCTCCGGGTCTTCTAATATCTTTCGTGGAAGGTTCCTGGAGAAGATCCTCTGCTGCTGATCTGAGGGCAAATATGGAAGCTGGCATTCCGTTAGGTATCCAGGTCCCAAGCTGTTAAGAGCTTTATAGGTAATAACCAGCACCTTGAATTGAGCCTGGACTTCGATGGGAAGCCAGTGAAGCTGGTAGAGGACTGGGGTTATATGAGAACAACGCCCAGTCCCCGTCAGCGACCTGGCTGCTCTGTTTTGCACCATCTGAAGTATCCGGACCGTCTTCAAGGGCAGCCCCACATAGAGCACGTTGCAGAAATCCAACTGGGAAGTAACCAGTGCATGTGTCACTGTTGCCAGGCAATCTTTCCAGGTAGGGACGCAGCTGATGGATTAGCCGAAGCTGAAGAAAAGCGCTCCTCGCCACCGCAGTCACTTGAGCTTCCAAGGACAGCTCCGGGTCGAGGAGCACTCCCAAGCTGCGGACCCTGTCCTTTAGAGGGAGCGCAACCCCATTCAGGGCAAGGTCCAAGTCACCTACACCGGAGCTCGAACCACCCACCAACAAGACCTCTGTCTTGTCTGGACTGAGCTTCAGTTTGTTGGCCCTCATCCAGCCCATTACCTCGGCCAGGTACTGGTTCAGCAGAGGCGCTGCCTCACCTGGATCAGTTGAAAAAGAGAGGTAGAACTGGGTGTCATCAGCATACTGATGATTCCGCAGCCCAAACCTCCTGATGACCTCTCCCAGTGGTTTCATGTAGACATTAAACAGCAAAGGGGACAAAATGGCTTCCTGCGGTACTCCAGGACATAACTGCCATGGCGCAGAGCCATAGTCCCCCAGCACCACCTTCTGGAATCGGCCATTGAGATAGGAGCGGAACCACCGCAGAGCAGTGCCTCCAACCCCCAATCCCGCTAGCCTGTCCAGAAGGATACCATGGTCGATGGTATCGAAAGCCGCTGAGAGGTCCAGGAGAACCAACAGGGACGCACTTCCCCTGTCTCTCCCTGCACAGGGCATTGTACAGGGCGACCAAGGCAGATTCAGTACCATACCCCGGTCTGAAGCCGGACTGAAATGGGTCCAGATAGTCAGTCTCATTCAAGAGTGCTTGGAGTTGTCCTGCCACCACCTGTTCCAACACCTTGCCCAAAAATGGGATGTTGGTCACTGGTCTATAATTGGCAGCCATCTCTGGATCCAGGGACGCCTTCTTTAGGACAGGCCTGATTACCGTCTCCTTTAAAGGAGCAGGCACCCGGCCGTCCCTCAGAGAGGCGTTAATGACCTCCAGGATCCAGGCACTAATCTCGTGTTTGGCTTTGGTCAGCAGCCACGACAGGCAAGGGTCAAGTAAACAGGTGGTGGGACGCACTTGTCCAAGCACCTTGTCCACATCATCAGGCCGCTATACCTGAAATTCATCCAGTAATATCTGACCGGATGGAATCATTGGCACCTCCCCTAGAGGATCTGAGTCACTACTGGAGTCCAGCTCGTGACGAATCTGAGCGATTTTCTCCTTAAAGTGCTGGGCAAAGTCGTCACAGCGGGCCATCGAGGGTGGTACGGGATCTTTCTTAGGCCAGGATGTACCAGCCCACGTACCACCCGAAAGAGCTCTGCTGGACGGCACTGTGAGGAGGCAAGAGAAGAATTTCTTCTTCGCTGCCCTCACGCCACAGCATAGGCTCGATAATGAGCTCGTAGGCTTTTTCGGTCAGATTCATCCCGTGATTTCCTCCACCTACGCTCTAGACGTCTCCCAACCCGCTTCATCGCCCGCAATTCAGGTGTATACCAGGGGAATGGACGGGCTCTGCCAGACAGGACGCTTAGGAGTGATCGTGTCAATAGCTCTGGTCATTTCCCAGGGCTTAAAAGTCTTGTTTAGGCTCAAGATCTACTTAAAGTTAAATTTAAAGAAAGCTAAAGTTCTTGACTTATTTCTTAGTACCAGCATGATGCTTTACTGTCTACTGTGATTTTTTTTAGAAGTCACAGGGTTAAAAAGCATTTTTGCCATCAGCAAATAGTGTTATGTAACTAGACTGGCTCTGGGCATTCTCTTCTGAGAGTTTAAGCTGCTTTGAACAGGGCGTTCTGCCCTTCTGCCAAACAGGATGAAGCAATAGCATTTTGCCCTCATTTATAGCTCTTGACTGATTGGTGCTGACAGTCAAATGTTTAAATATCGCTGTTTTTTCAGACGGTGATAGGGTAATTTTTTTTTGGCCCTTTGCTATTAATTGGCATAAAACTTTTATTAAACTTTTAAAATTATTTTTATTATATTTATGTTTCCTCTTAAGAAGCTCCAGGTGGCTCACACAGTTCTCCTCTCAGTCTGATCCTTAAACCAACAACCCTGTGGGGTAGGCTGGGCTGCGTCTAACTCGCCTCAAATCACCCAGTGAGCAGCTCCATAGCTGAGTGCAAACTAGACCCTGTTGCTAGAATCCCCAGTTCTGTTCTCTTAACTGCTACACTGCACTGGCTCTGCGGGGAGAAATCCATCAGTTGTAAACATTATGCTCCTTTTCGTCCCATGGCTGACTGTATACATGTTGTAACGCTATTTTGTCATCAGTGGTTTTGCAGGGGAAATAGAGAAATTGATCGTTTTTATTGTTTACAATTGGCTTGACGCCAAAAAGAGTTTCCATTTCTTCCCTGCTTTGCAATCTTGTTTCTGTCAGTGCCACTGGTAGCAGGGGAAGCGAATACACTGCAGCAAGCGTCTAGACCGCTGGCAAGTCCATTACTGCCTCTGTGCGAAGGATTCCCGGACTCTGCTGGGGCCTTCTTGGCGACTGGCTGTTCGCACTGCTTTGCAGGACTCGGCCTTTTAGCAACAAGGAAGGTCAGGGATAATATGCAAGTCCAATTTTAGTGCTCTTTATTCAGTTGACTAGCACAACATGCTGCCTGTATTTTGGCACAGCAGCAGTAAAGTGGATGTAAAATGACGAAATAGTGAATTACGGCGCTGATTGCTGGACTATACATACTGAGCCAAATCAGCCTGCTGTGAGAATTGCTGGCAGACCTAAAGTGACATCAAAAGCTAGTCTGGGTTCAAAGCATCCACCCACAGAGAAGACCTGGGGTTTCTTGAGCTACTACTAAACTGCAGTTTTGGCACTGCAGCTGGCTCCTAGCCCAGCCTGATGTTTCTGCTTTCTCTTGCAGGCTGGGAGTAAGAGCAGCAAATGTGTCAAGAATGAGCTCAGAGGCGACAAACAAAAGTGCCTCTTGTGGCTTTCCAATGATGGCAACTAAATGATGTGAGGGACTTATGACTGGGCTGTGTATCCAGCCCTCCAGTATCAGCAGCCTTCCTGAAACATTTCCCTCGGGCCAGTGTGAAATTTCTGTGCTTTTCTAAGGTTTAAAAATAAGGCAGTTACAACGAAGGAAGAGAATGGCCTATTTCCAATTGCTTGAGTTTCAAAGTACTGCAGCACAATTAAATCCCCTAATATAAGTACTGTGTAAGTAAGTATAAGTAAGCCTGTGAAAGCTGGACTATATGGAAGGCTGAGTGCCGAAGGATTGAGGCCCTTGAATTGTGGTGCTGGAGGAGACTCCTGCGAGTCCCTTGGACCGAAAGGCGATCAAACTGGTCAGTCCTAGAGGAGATCAACCCCGACTGCTCTTTAGAAGGCCAGATACTGAAGATGAAGCTCAAATACTTTGGCCACCTAATGAGAAGGAAGGACTCTCTGGAGAAGAGCCTAATGGTGGGAACAATTGAAGGCAAAAGAAGAAGGGGACAGCAGAGAATGAGGTGGCTGGATGGGGTCACTGGGGCAGTGGGTGTGAGCTTAAGTGGACTTTGGGGGATGGTGGAGGACAGGAAGGCCTGGAGGAATGTTGTCAGTGGGGTCGCGATGGGTTGGATACGACTTCGCGACTAGCAACAAGCAACATATAAGTACTTCCATTCAAAGAGAGAAGGTGTGGATTATTAATCATGCTTAGGTTAAAATAATCCCATGAGAATCCTATTTTCCTGAATGCCTCACTAGTGAACAGACTTAGAAACATGGAAACAGAGCGAGTCAGAAGGGGTCTCCCGGGCCATCTAGTCTGACCTCCGGCACCAGCCAGCTCCGCTCACGACATACCCACCATGTGCATGTCCACCCTATCCTTGAACACCCTCCCCGATGGGGCCTCAGCAACCTCTCGTGGAAGCCCATTCCACACCCTCGGGGTCCTGACTGTCAGGAAGTGCTTCCTGGCATCCAAATGGATCCTTGGTTCCCTGAGATTTGCTCTGTTGGAACGCGTCCTGCCTTCCTCTGCAGGGGAGAACAGGTCTCCACCCATCTCCATGTGACACCCCCTCACATACCTGCATGTCACCAACATATCCCCTCTGAGTCTCCTCCAGGCTGAAGAGACCCAGTTCCCTCAGTCTCGCCTCATACAGCATCCCCTGCAAACCGGCCACCAACCTTGTGGCCCTACGCTGCACTGACTCTAACCTGGCTATATCCTCCTTGTAATGAGGGGCCCAGAACTGAGCACAATACTCCAGTTGTGGGCGCACCAAAGTCGTATAGAGTGGTAGTAATACCTCTCTTGATCTAGAAGCCACACTTCTGGCTATGCAACCAAGGGTGACGTTCGCCCTCTTGGCCTTGCATCACACTGCTGACACATGTTCAGCCTGCAGCCAACCAGCACCCCGAGGCCCCTTTCACAAGTGCTGCTCTCCAGCCACTTGTCACCTAACCTGTATTTAGCAACTTGGCCATAGTTTTCTATACTGAGCAGAGTTTCACTGTTCAGTGAAGAAGGAACTCTCTTCTTCATTGTCTGGGCGCATCTTGATGCTTGCCCCAAATGTCACCTAAATGCATTCCATTGCAGCTCAGTTGCTTGGTTAGGAAAATACCTGTCAAGGCCGAAATATGGCGATTTTCTTTGTTCGGGCAGCGCTTTGTTTTCAAGAAGCATCTGGAAGGCTGTTGCACTGCTGCTTATCCAACTTTCAACACATATCTGTTCTTCTGCCTAGAAATACCAGCAGCAAGCCAAAATGCAGTTGCCATGCAGAGCTATCATTACGGTCCTCAAAGCAGGAAAACATTCCCATTCCCTGGAAAAGTGTTAGCTGTAGATAAGCTGGTTGAAGGGAAGAAGGATCCAGACATTCCCAGGAATAGGGGAGGAGTTATGTTGAGTGGCGGTGGTGGTGGTGGGATATTTTTGTGTGTTGCTAATTCAGTTAATAGGAGCTTCCACAAAGTGCATGTGTCAAGCCTGTTGTAACCTGTGAATCTTTAGCCTCATTTGGCAGAATGGCGCTTAACCTCTGCATCCTCTTCCTTTGCAGCCAGAAGCCACTCAGAGGTTGATTTATGCTGGGAAGCTCCTGCACGACCACCTTTCCTTGCAAGATGTGCTTAACAAGGTACAGCTGTCCATGCAGGCACTGCTTTTCGGAACTGTACTGCGATTTCAAGTAAATGTACTTGAAAAGTCTTTGAAACCTTGATTTGTTTTATATTTCAGGAAGAAACGCTGCATGTACTCCACTTGGTGTGCAGCTCAAAGGCTCTGCCTGCAGGACAAGATGCTGCTATGAAGGTACTTGCACCCAGAAAGACCTCTCGATTTGTATCCCAAAGAAAGGAAGTTTTTATTGAGTGACTAAATCAAAGGGCAGCTTGTGCAGTAATTCACTGAAGGCTTGTCCTTCACTTGAGGGAGAAATGATGTGGAAGTGAGCTAAAAGCGGCTGTGCGGTGATGCATCAGTGTCTGGCAGGGTGTGGCAGGGGTTGTTCAGTCTGTGGAAGTTGGAGAGCTAGCAAGAGAACAAGGAAGGGAGGGTCCTGTGCATTCTTGATTTGTCTGCCAAAAAGCACGGGAAAGATGTATGTTTGCCACAGAGAAAATCCAAGAGAAGGCCAGGAAGTGCCATCCTTCTGTGGCTTGGAAGAGATGCAGGGTTGATGAGCAGAGTGTGGCCCTCCAGACATCAGCAAGACTGAGTTCTTCCAAAATCAGACTTCATTTGTTAGGAAAAATGCAGTTAAACTACAAGGGTGGCAAATGGACAGCTGATTTCCAGGTGTGTGAGAATTTTCTAATGCAAATTAAATTTATTTGCATTGGAGATGTTTCAGTTTGCACGGGAAATTGTTCTGAGGTCCCAGGGAGATTTAACTGTATATAGCTCAGACAGCTCACACAGCTGCACACAATGTGGTGACAAGCAGCTCCCTCTTTCAGCAGTGCTTCACTTCTGCTCCCTGAGGTTGCTGGGCCACTGCGGTTTCGCTCTCAATGCTTACCAGTTCCATTTTGCACACAGATACGTATGTGCTGCTTTAATTTAGCATACGTGTATTCTCACCTTGGGGACTGCAGGTGGTGCAGTGGGTTAAACCGCTGTGCTGCTGGGCTGGTTGATCGAAAGGTCGCCGGTTCGAATCTGCACAATGGGGTGAGTTCCCGTTGCTCCGTCCCAGCTCCTGCCAACCTTGCAGTTCGAAAGCCTGCAAATGCAAATAGATAGAAAGGTACCACTTCGGTGGGCAGGTAACAGCGTTCCGTGCACCTCGGTGTTTAGTCATGCCGGCCACATGGCCACGGAGACTGTCTGTGGACAAACGCTGGCTCCCTCGGCTAGGAAATGGAGATGAGCACCACCCCCGAGAGTCAGGCATGACTGGACTTCACGTCAAGGGGAAACCTTTACCTTTACCTTTACCTTTACCTTTATTCTCACCTTCCTGCTAGAGATAATTGCCTGGAAAATGTTAAATGTTAATTTGGAACTGCCAAGCTTGTTGACTATGGTATTTGCAGTTGGTGTCCATTTATTTTTCCCAAGGAGCTTACGAAATGGAACATTTCCTGCCAAAAGGCGAGGGACTGTGCTTGTGCCCCCCATGAGTGGGGGCAGGAAATCACGGTGCTGATGGTTCTTGCAAGAACTCAAAGCTTGTGGGAGCAAACTGATGAGTAGTGCCTTGCTGAAATGGGGGAGTGGGGGGATTAGATTTTGGTAGGTCCAGAGAGCTGGCTGCTATTTGGGGCCAGGGTGTTCCCTTTTCTGAACTGCAAGTGTCATTTGTCCTGCCTTGTTGCTGGGCCTTATCAGCTAACTTCTCCAGACAGATTGAAACCCTTTGAGCGGTTATAGCGTGAGGACCCGGCATGGAGGCGGACTCATGCTCTTGAGCAGCAACATTTCGGGCACAGTGCGCCCTGCGTTTCCAGCTTTGGAAAATAGAACGCGACGCTCCACACAGAAGCTTTGCAAACCTTGTTCATTCAATGTTTTTTAGGCGGCTGAAGCCCAGCAGCAGCCGGCAGCTTTTGGCCGAGATTCCCCTGTACATCCTTCAGTTCACCCTTGGAATCGAAGGGAAGATGCCTGCAATAGGCCTCCCGCAGAAGCTGCTGGCAGTCGGTGCGTATGTTGCGCACGAGAATGTGCCAGCTTGTGAACGAACGCTCTGGCACTGAGTGTGTGATGGATCTCACATACGCACACCTCAAAGCGTGCACCGGAGTATAGAACTTTAGGCTTTCCGGGGGGAGGGGTCCCTCAAATGGCTGCGGCCCTTTCCTCAATCATCTGGCGATTTCCATTTCCCTCCCCCCCCAGTTGGTGGCTTTCCAGCTGTTGCATGCCCCCCCCCCACCAAAGAATGAAATGCCCCCCGTGGGGCTCAGGGAACCTTAAGTCACAATATTGGGGCGCATTTTGTGTCTTGCCCCCGCCCTGTTAATCTCTGATGCCATGCGCAACCGGAAGGCAGGCCCCAGAGCGGCATTGAAATGGGATTCCACCCTTTCTCTGAATGCCACGGCAGTCATGGCACTCACAGGAGCCCGCAAGCCCTCTTGCCAGCAGCATGTGTAGAGGCTGGCTCATAAGTGAAGCCAGGATTTGTGGCCCCCTCGCATTTCAGGCAGTTTTCCCCCTGTGTGAAATTGACGACAGTTCGGTTTAATTCTTCTGGGAAGTGGTGTGGGGAACCATGGTAAAGCCTTGTTTTAGAGCCTACAGCATGGCAAAAACTCCTGGTGCATACCAGAAATGATTGGTGTGGTGGGAGAGGGGGAATAACAACAGTGGGCCCGTTCTGATCCCGCCTTTGTGTGCTTCGAATAGATCCCAGCCGGCACCGCATCCTTTTCATGGCATGAACCCCGCCTATGCGTCCTACACAACGTACCGCCTGCTGCAGTTATGGTTCCATCAGATTTATGCAAGACAATATTACATGCAATAGTAAGTGGTCCTTCTGTCTTTATTTTCACAAGGAATTGCACAGCGAGCTTTCTTGGCAGCAGCCCCATTCTCATATGCCTAACAGTGTCCCTGAAAGATCCATGGTGGTGTTGTTCTGTCCTGAATGCTAGTAGTGTCAGCTTCTCTTAAGCAAGCTGTAGCAGCCTTCCCCCACCTGGCGGCCTTTGGAGGCATTCGGACCGCGACTCCCAGAATTCCCACCCAGCACTGACAGGGAATTCTGGGCATTGCTGTCCAAACATGTGGAAGGCACAAGGTTGGGGAAGGCGGAGCTAGTGATTCGTGGTCCTTCCCTTCATCAGTCTCTCTCTCAGGAAGTACGATGCACCTGTCTTAACAGCAGCGAGACACGTTGAAATGCCTTTTTCTAGATTAAGCTTGCCTTGGTATTTTTCTGTGATTATTAAGTGATTCCCGTGCATGCAGAGTTTGGCAAGCTTGCATTTGCTTTAAAATAATCTCATTTTATTATTATTAATTCATCCAGCATGGCTGCCAACGCCGCTTCTAGCAGCCTGTCTTCTAGACAAAGCACACAGGAGATCCCAGTGGCTCCTGTCGCTGCTCCGGCTCCTCTGCCCGGTCCGTTTCCTGCCGAAAATCAGCCTGAAAATCAAAACGTTGCCCCTCAGGTGAACCCAGGGGTCAATCAGAACCTACGGATGAATGCCCAGGGAGGTCCTTTAATGGAAGAAGAGGAAGCAAATCGGGACTGGCTGGACTGGCTGTACTCCGCAACCCTGTTCTATGTCTTCATCAGCATTGTCTATTTCTACTCCAGCATGAGCCGGCTTTTCATGGTGCTGCTCGGCACCTTGCTGATGTACCTGTAAGTGTCGAGAGCAGCATCCCTTGTCATACCTTGCTGCAGGGAACTCGAGGCCGCTTTTTATCCTCACAATAAGCTTCGAAATAGGCTTAGGTGAGAGTCAGGAACTGGCCCAAAATTGCCCTGTGAGCTGGCTAGGTGAGGACTGGGACCCAGATTCCAGAGTCCCAGTCTCGCATGTCTAGCCACTGTCCACACCGGCTCATGTCTGGCGGTGTGCTCCCTTTTGGGATGGAGAATGCCTGAGGTGGTCTCAGGCTGCAGTGGCTGTATCTTACCCTTTTAACATGGTTCCACTAGTAATAGAGGCTTAAAAGAGCGACTAGCCATTGGCTCATAGAAAATGTTAGGCTAGACTTAAATGTTACAGGCCCTAGCCTGCTTCAGCTTTGTTTTCACGCATCTAGTTTTGCGACTTTCTTGAATTGGCGAAAAGATGGTCCATGTCACTCATTTGGTTCTGCTGTATACCCCTTTTGGCGGTAGAAGGGGAGACGGTCAACTTGGCTTATTTTCTTCCACGTTTATCAGCTGTGGAAAAGCTTACGTAGGTGGCTTTTTACCACATCAGAGCTTTTAAAACATTAACATAAAGCACAGTTTCTCACTTTTAGTAAATCAAGGCAGGCAGTCACTCTGTTCATTCTTGTGGCCTTTAAATGGATGCTGGTTGCATTTGCATGATGTGCCCCCCTGCAAACAAGTTGTGTACTTTGAGTTGTTTGTGCACCCGCATGTAGAGTATGGACAGATCCAAAGGTTCTCATTCTTTTAAAAATTTTGGCAGTTGTGGAGGGTGTGCAGGGGCACAATGCAGATGTCCTGGAAGGGCAGTTCTGTCCTGCTTGTGGCCTGGATGGCGTCTGTTAACTCACAGGCTACGAAGAGATTGCTTTGTTCTCGTTTGAGAGCCATCAAAACAAGCTGAGAGAGAAACGAAGCTTTGGAGGAGGAGGTTTTTGCTGAATTGTGGGGGTCGTGCCTGTATTGCCCCCTCTCCCAGCCAGGTCCTCTAGCGCTTGTGTGGACCTCACTGTTCACCACTGGTCCCCTGGATTCGCAGCAAGCACCTTGCAGGTGATCCATGCTGATGGGGGCCACCAGCAAGCCTTCTTGCAGGAGGCAGCCCGGGTTGCACAGCAGGACAGCTCGATGCAGTGTGTTCCCCTCGGTGCCCTGGGCTGTGCGAACACTCGGACGCGAGAGCTTTTGTTGTGTCCCTCACCACTGGTGTGCTCTCGGGAGGCCCTCCCATGGGCAGTGGGCCGTTCGCAGCGCGCCTCCCCACCACCTCTGGAGTGGCTGGCCAGGCGTGTGCAGAGCCCCGGGAGCTCTCCCACGCTTGGGAAGATGCTCTTTTGCCTGTTGGTTTTATGGTGGCATGTGCAGCTAACGGGGGTGAATGGCTTCTTTCAGGCACCAGGTGGGTTGGTTCCCCTTCCATCGGAGGCCAGGTCAGCCGGGCCAGAACAACCTTCCTCCACAAGCAGCCGTCAACCAGGACCAAAACAATAATGTGCAGGTAAGTTTCCCCATGGCAAGTACCTTGTCATAAGCACCATTTTCCAAATGACGGGCGTTTTGGTGCAAGCCAGACTTGGTTTTACGATAAATGAAGGGCACTTGCTGGCTGGGTGTGATAGGGAGTTGCAGGGCTGTAGCCACTCAAAAGGGATTTTATTCCAGGTTGAATAAGCGTGTTCCCTCGCAGCTTGTGTCCCGCTATTCCTTCTAGAATACTTTAGGGTGTATCTAAAGTGGCTCAGCCTCTGTGATGTGTAAGTGGGTGCTATAGCGCAGACTTTGCCTTACGAGCACTTGTATCATGTACGTCCTCCACAGCAGAGTGCCTGATGCACGTGGGAAGCCAGAATGCCATTACTGATCTGTTGCCTGAGATGATTCAAGGTGTTCAGTGGTGCCAGATTTGGTGCCAGTGGTACCCCGGCAACACCAGCAGCCAGGCCTTGCGGCACCAGATGTTTGGGGCCTAGGATGGGGGCAGGGGAGCCTGGGACTCCTGGCTGAGGGTTTGTGGGGACAGAGATGGAAAATGCCCCCTGCCCCACAGTATAGATATGGCTGGCAGGGCTGTTCTATCGCCAGGTGAGCGGCAGTGGCTTGCTCAGTTCTCTTTGTGACTTGGAGGCACTGCAGGCCTCTGACTCTTCCAAAAAAGCAGTTGCGTGGAGAGTTCTTTCTTACCGCCTGCCTATGAGACTCCTAACTCGGCAGGCCTGACCACGTAATCCTGCATGGGTGACTTTTGGCAATGGCCTAGTCTAAATGTATCCTGGAGAAAGAGCAGGGGAGCACGTCTTTGACTAAGCAGAAAATGCCACTAGTGAACCTGTCAGGGCCGCATCTCAGAATTAAACCTTGCGCTTTCCTTGGGCGAGCAGGAGGAAAATGTGGGCAACCCCGGAGAGATGGAGGCGCCTGGCACGGCACCGGAGAGTCAGCCAGGGCCCACGTCGTTCGTGAGCACAGCCTGGCTGTTCTTCAAGACGTTCTTTGCCTCTCTCCTGCCAGAGGGGCCTCCAGCTGTGGCAAATTAGCTCGCTCACAGGTGGATGAGTTACCTCTGTGGTCTGCTGGACCTGGACCGGATGGGGCACCGACCTGAATGGTGGAAGTGGCTGAGAATTGTACAAAAGGAGATGAATCAGAAGCGAAGGATGGATCATTGGATGGAAGGTCTATTAGTCATTCGCCTAATACATGGTGATCTTGGAGCTTCAGTGAATCGTGTTGTAGACAGTGAAAGAAGGGCCTGCAGCAACAAGTGATTTTCTACTTCCCTGTGAGAAATTGTGGGAGCTGCCTGGCTTCTGCCAGCCCGACTTGATTCCTGTTGGAATGGATCTGAGGCACTTAATTACACTGAGTGTAGTACCTTATGCAAGCAGTGAATTGCGTGTTCTTATGAATTTTCCCATGACCATTGAGGCCAAAAGCAGAGAAGCTGTGCTTATTGCGACACTTTAAAACCTATTTGTGTGAAGAAAATGCAATTGAACGCTGTTAAACAGCACTGCAAGAGCTATTCAGCATCTGCAGAACGTTCCCCATTTCACCAGCTGAGTAAACGTGTATCCCGGAGGCTCTTCTCCCGGGCAGATCAAGCCTCTTACATTCTGTGCATCTAGATAAAAGTACTGCAAGATACAAGAACCTTCTACGGACTGGAGTTTTGCAAAACAAAACTTAAGAAATATGGCCTCTGCATTGGGTGAGAGGGGGCTTGGCTGAGTTTCAGCTTTGTGCATGCTGATTTTGTGCATCGTATTAAGATGCATTTCACTTTAGAAAGCTCTCTTGAAATATTTTTTTTAAAGCATACATTTGGCTAGGCCCAGGTGTGTCTGGAGCGAAACTCCGTGGAATGGGTGGAAGTTTGTTTTTTGTGGCTGCTGCCTCCCAAACTGTCTGTCCTAGAGTGTGAGGAGTGCAGCCGGTAGAGCAGTGACTGGCTCTGCTGTGCCTCCTTGCTCTAGCCCTTCAGGTCCGATTTCCCCCTCTAAATATCGGGGTCCTTTGTGTGGATGAGCAGGTCAGTAAGCAGCGCATTGCATTCCTAGCAGGTTGTGCAACTATGCAAGCAAAAACGAGTTGAGTGACTAGATTCTGCTGGACTCTTCGACCGGGTGCCTGCTTCAGCATCTTTCTTCCGAAGAGCAGCATATTTAGTGCCTTTGGGACTTCTTTCCTTAATGCCTGGTTCTTATGGAGGTGTTCCAAACGTTTTGTTTCTGCTGCCCCTCCTTCCAGAACTCTGCAAGTTTGCAGCGTGATCCTTTCCAGCTCAGGGATAATTATCCTAGACTGTCTACATACAGGAATGTTTTCCTACCTATGCATTCTTTTTCCAACTGTGCTGAAAATGTGTAATTCTGTTGCAGATTGTAAGCTGTAATCCTCCAATTTGTACTTGCTGTGTACTCTAATTTTGTTATAGGGGACTCTGCAACTCTGTTCTTTTCTTTTGTATATTACCTGTTCAACAAAGTTTAATATATGTTGGCTCAAAGCTATTAAACTTGATGCTGTCCCCATTTGTGTATTTGTTGCTGCATAGTAAGCCAGCAGGGAAGTGTGAACAAGATCAGAAGTGCAACACAATCTGAGGTTGGAGAAGGCTGTCCGGTCATTAAGCAGGAGGTTGAGCATCTAAGCCTTCCGAGGAACGTAGCCGGAAATGCAGCGAATGGATCAGTCCGATCACTGGCACCTGTAGAGGGCTCATTTGGAAGTGCCTTCGTAGCAGGGAGCGATTTAAGCAGCTGCAGAGAAGGGTTAATTTTGCTCTTCTGTGAGAGACAAAGTGAGCTCAATAGTGCCCCAGAATTCAGTCCTGGGGAGAATATAGACTGTTCGCAATGGCCGCACCCATCTCAAGCAACGGGAACTGCACAAACGCAGAAGGACTTTTACCTTGGCCCACCTTAATGGACCCCCCTCGACAGTGTTGGAGGGGCGGTATAAAAAAGATCCCCTGGTCAGAATGTCTCTGCCCCCGCGGTATGGACAGATAGAAACTGCGGTGCACATTCTATAGGGTGCCGCACTCATTTCCCCACTGATGGATTGCTTCCCGGGCAGTATGGAACAACAATATATCAGTATTCTGCTGCCTGACACTCATCCGATGTTAACATACAGTGTCGCTAAATTCTTCGCAACCACGATGGGTGTCTGAGAAGAATCCTGAGGGAATGCAGTTCTGCCTAGCTGCATGAAAGACCAAGTCTGGGAACGCCACTTAGGCCTGATGGCCGATATGCTGTAAAGCTGCAGTGTATTGCATTGAAGTATCTACTAATCTGGGGTTTTACGACAGATAACCTGTAATGTGTTCCCTTCTTTTTAAAAATCTATTTGAATTGAGCTGGTCTTTGACTGTAATCAAGTTTGATCGATCGATCGATCGATCGCTCTTCTGAGATCCCAGCTCCCTGTACGCTCACACAGCGGTGAGGTTTAAAATGCCGGTTTGTGCCAAGGGAGGCTATTTTCAAAAGCCCAAGACACATGGGATGAGGAGTCCCTTTCGGGTGTTGGATTCCCTCCCCGGCTCTCGGCCCACTGTTGCTCGGCCACGGGTCTCAACGTGGGGCAGCTGCCTGGCAGGGATGGAGCTGATGTGACCCCCGCTCAAGCGTCATGCCTCTTCCCTGAGCGGGACTTGCACCGTTTCTTGGCACAGTGGGAAGGCGCGGCGTGCGCGTTTGGTCCTCCAGGGGCGCTTGCAGACATCATCCTGGCTCTGCTGGGTTCGCTTTCTGAGCACGAGAGGAAGCTTCTCCGCAAACCGAAGTGGGGCACTTCGTTGCTCCCCTAGTGGGGCCGAGGCGCGTCCTCGCGTGCGTGCAGTGGGAGCAAGCGCAGGCGGTGCTGACCCCAGCCCAGTTGGACGGGGGCCTCTCCCCACTGCGTGGCTCCTGGGAGATAATATGAATCGTAGCAAGGCAGGTGGCCCCTCCTGGAAAGTTCTCTGGAAATCTTAATATCTCATTAAACTAGCTGATGTAGCCAATTTGCACCCAGCAGTTCCTTCTTCCTGGTAAACCGAACCAAACCAAACTGGGCCCACTTTTGCACGTTTCTGCAGCAAGAGGTCCATTCTTGTATAAACAGACCTTATAATTTCATATTTCTCTTGAGCAGCTTCTCCAACCTGTGCTCAAGCGTGTTTTCCAAAGTACCACAAAATTGAAATCATGTGGAAACCAGTGTCCTTAAAAGCAGCGGTTGAAGGGCTGCAGTGGAACAGACTGCCTGCCTGAGGTGGGGATTATCAGATGGATGTGGTGAGCACTCCTTGAAGGGAATTTCGTGACTTGGGGAGCTCTGCTAAAATGGCAAGCAGCTTCTGGATTACCTCGAAGTCCCGCATTTGCTGGTAGCACAAGTTAATGGGTATACAAGGGGCGTTCAGTGTATTCTTGGTATCGGGTTGATTTGCTATCAATATGGGTAATTTAATTATTTCATTAGCTAAAGGCACTATCTGAGGGTATACATGCAACATTTCAAATAAGTGTGATCATTAGTTCCCTAGTAATCTTCAGTGAAATACGACCACAATGACTGATGCGACAATGTTGAAGAAGATCGAGCACCGCGCTGTGATTAAGTTCTTTACAAAACAAGGAAAAAGTCAAAAAATTATTCACAAAGAGATGGTGGCTGTTTACCAAGATGCTGCACCTTCATTATCTACTGTTCAAAAGTGGTCAAGTGAATTTAAAAGGGGCAGAGAAAACATTGAAGACGACCCTCGCTCGGGTGGACCGGTTACTGCCATTACGAAAGAAAATGTGAAAAAAATTGAGAAACTTGTATTGGAAGATGCCCAAATAAAAATCAAAATGTTAGCAGAGATGACAAACCTATCCGTTGGTACCATATTTACTGTTTTTCATGACCATCTTAACCTTTCAAAGGTCTGTGCAAGATGGGTGCCGCGAATGCTCATGGTGCCTCAGAAGCAAGTGCGAGTCGAGTGCTGTAGGGAGTTTT